GTGTGTGTGTGTGTGTGTGTGTGTGTGTGTGTGTGTGTGTGTGTGTGTGTTGTATGCCTACATGATCACAGAATCCTCTGGCAGCTGGTTTCACTTCATGTGTTCGCACTCAGAACGGGTCTGATGGACGGCCCGGATAGAAACACTGATGAATATGAGCAGCAGGGAGAAGGAGAGGAGAGCCAATCAGAAGCCTGCACTCCTGTCCTGCCTCCAAACATCAGCAAGAAGAAAAAGAGAACCAGAAGGAGGTATTTTACTCTCCTTTTTTACGTTTATCCTCAGTTATTTCTCCAGACATGAACTGCAGAATGTGCAGCAAAGCAGGTGTCTGTCCTTCTGTTTGTCTCTCTTGTCTTTCAGATGATTGACCATCAACCTCACCTGCTGCAAATATGAAAGCGGTACGTTTTTCGTTAAAATATGCAGTTGTTCATTGCAAACGTTTTCAGCCCCAAAGCATCCAGTCAGAACCCAAAATAATTCATATTTTGTCTGGTCTACTCCCTTTAACTTGTTATCATAACTTCAGGCCTGCAATACGTTCTAAAGGAATTTATATTTATAGTTTTGTAATGTTTTTACCGCTTATCTAAAGGATTTTATGTCACTGAGTGATGAAGTGTTTCCCCCAGTTTCTAGAATTCTGCACCATAAAAGAAGCAAATGTAAAAAAAAAATTCTAATATTTCTTTCTTGACAAAATAAAGATGCTCCTGCCCAACTTTGCTCCTCAGCTTTTCACTTATCATTTATATCAAATCACCTGTTAAAAGTAAAAATTTTTTTTTTTACTTTGTTATTTGGGCCTAAGTTTCCTTCATTACCAGGAATCATACAAGAAAGGATTTATATAAACAAATAAACAAAACAAGACATGAAATATTTTGGGTTTATGAAGAATTTAAAATCAATCATTTAAAAGTTTATACCTTTAGTCAGAACAAACAGAGTAGGAAGTTTTACACACATTGATATTTTCAGGCTTAAAAATCAACATTTTTAAATGTTTTAATCATCTCTTCTGTGAAACAAGTTGTTTCATGTTTTATTTGTCTCAGTGCGGCGAGCTGCTCGTATGTACGGCCTCAGCGAGGTGATGGAGGACGAGGACTGGACGCTGTTTTGGACCGACTGCTCCGTGTCTCTGGACCGCGTCAGGGACATGAAGCGTTACCAGGTGTCCGAGTCGGACCGTCCACACTCACACACATCACTACCGTCAGCAGGAAAGAAGCTAAATTCAGTCTTCTGTATTCTAGCTCAGCTTTCCTCTCTCAGTCTGCTGGTTTTTCTTTTCAGTTACAGTTCAAGCTAATTGTGACCAATAAACCAAATTCTCCTCTTTGAATTTAATTAAATCAGCCGTAATCACTCCTGCTGTAAATGTGTTTGTCTTTGCAGAAAATAAACCATTTCCCTGGAATGAGCGAAATCTGCCGTAAAGATTTCCTGGCGAGAAACTTGAACCGAATGCTGAAACTTTTTCCTAAAGACTACAAAATCTTCCCCAGAACGTGGTGCCTTCCTGCAGAGTCAGTCTGCTCCTCGTTTCACTGTCTGAATGCCGAGTCAGCGCGTACATTTCAAAATGTTTAACTTTATTTAGAAAGATTTTTTTCCCATAGAAATGCATTACATTTGTTTGGAAACACAGGTCTCTTTAATTTTAGCTAATCTTATGATAGKTTTAGATTTAAGCTACTGTTCTGCTACTTTTACCTTTTAGTTAGCCTTTGGCTACTTTTAGGTTTCGTTGCCTTTCTGCTACTTTTAGCTATTAGCTAGCCTTTTGCAACTTTTATTTCTATTTAACCATTTGATACTGTTGGCTTTCAGTTAGGCTTTTCTTATTTTAGCCAGGCTTTTGCTAATTKTAGCTTTTAGGTATAGTTTTTTTCTACTTCTGACTTTTAACTAGACTTTTTAACTAGAAATCGCGTTTGGTGTGAACGCACCATTATGCTACTGTTAGCTTTTAATTAGCATTTTATAATTTTTAGTTTTAAGAAGCCTTTTTCTACTTTTGCCTGTTTCCACCTTTAACCTTTGCCCTTTGAGATTTTGTTGCATTTAACTTTTGGTTAATGTTTTGCAACTTTCAGCTTCTAGTTTGATTTTTTTTTTTACTTTACGTTTTTTGACAGACATTTGTCCTTTTTAGATGTTTTACAACTTTTAGCTTTAAGTTTACCTTTTTTACCATAACCAGTTTTTTCTACCTTTGACCTTAAGCTAGGCTTTTGCTGCTTTTAGCTTTTAGCTGGGATTAGCAAATTTTGGCTTTTAGCCTTCTGTTATTTTTGTCTTCTAGTCTTTTGCTACTTTAGGTAACTTTTTGTAGCTTTTACTTTAGGCTAGTAATTTTCTGTTTGTGTTTAACTCATGTTTTATTTTTTGATAGCATTTTTTCTTTAGCGTTTAGCTGCTGTTTTGTTCCTTTTAGCTGAACATCTGTTTTAGCTTCTTCATCTGAGTAAATTAATTCAGTCTTTTGCTTTTTTTTTGGTCAATTGTTAGTAAAATATCCACTCAATATCTGTTTTTCACAGTTACAATGACTTCCAAGCGTTTASCAGAGCCAAAAAACGCAAAACCTACATCTGTAAACCAGACATGGGTTGCCAAGGAAAAGGCATCTTCATCACCAAATCCAGTAAAGACATCCAACATGGAGAAGACATGATCTGCCAAGTTTACATCTCCAAGGTGAGGTACTGACCAAAAGCACGTCTAACACACGGCGCCTGAAGTTCACACGTGTCCTCTGTCGCGTCTCCAGCCTTTTATTATCAACGGATACAAGTTYGACCTGCGGATCTACGTGTTGGTGACGTCCTGTGACCCGTTCAGCATCTTCATGTTCAGGGAGGGCCTGGCTCGCTTCTGCACCACAAAGTACACTGAGCCGACACACAGCAACATGGTGACAGCCCAGCTTTTATTGATTTGTTTTAGGATCATTTATTTATTGGAGTTTATTTTAGCTTTGGGTCATGATGACTGGAATCAGAAGATATTAACCCTGGTTAACATGAAACTTAAACAAATTTTTAGGACAACATGTGCATGCATCTGACCAACTACTCCATCAACAAGAACAGTGAGAACTTCGTCCGTGACGAGGACGTTGGCAGCAAACGGTAAACACAGACAGTCTGAGTTTGTTTAATGAAGTTTATATCAACATCGTTTTGGTTTTTGCTGCRCAGGAAACTGTCCAGCCTCAACAAGCTCCTGGAGTCCATCGGCTGCAACACAGAGAAGTTGTGGAGCGACATCGAGGACATCATCTTGAAGACTCTGATATCTGCCCACCCCATCCTCAAACACAACTACCACACCTGTTTTCCCAACGACACCGCCGGCAGCGCCTGCTTCGAGATCCTCGGCTTYGACGTGCTGCTGGACCACCAGCTCAAACCCTGGGTGCTGGAGGTGAAACACTTTCAGACTTATAGTAAACAAGTTTTTATGACCTGAGACTAAAAAATAAAAAATAAAATAAATAAATATGCAATTTTGGAACCACACCATTTTATTCATTGTACAGAACATAGTTTTATAAATGTGCATGCTGAACGAGTTTCCAAAAATCTGCTGAAATAGCAAAATGCTAGCTGAAACCTAYAAGTAGCACCTAAAAGCTAAACGTCAAGTAAAAACATAAAAGCCTAGCTAAAAGTAGCAGAAGGCTAACTGAAAGTAAAAGATAGCAGAATGGAAGCTAAATAAAGCAAAACCCAAGATAGTAGTAAAAGGATAAAAGCTAAAARAAGCAGAACGATGGCTAAAAGCCAAAACTAGCAGAATGTCTTCCAAAGTTAACTAACCCTGGCTAGAGGCTATAAGTAAAAAAAAAAAGCTAGATAAAAGAAGCAGAAGAGTAACTAAAAGCAAGAAKTTAGTAAAAAACAACAAAAACCTTGCTAAAAGTAGCAACAGTTATGCTAGAAGTAGCAGAATGATAAGTAAAAGCTAATCATAGCAGCAGACAAGCTAGAAAATAGCAGAATAGTAAAAGCTAAAATTAGCATAATGGTAGGTAAAAGCTAACAGTTGCAGAATGGTATAGCTAAAAGTAGCAGAATGCTAAAATTAGCATAATGGCAGGTAAAAGCTAACATTAGGAGAATGGCAGACAAAAGCTAAAATTAAGGAAATGGTTGGTCAAACCTGACAGTTGCAGACCTGTACAGGTAAAGCTAAAAGTATCGGAATAATAGTTTAAAGTGGCAAAAACAAAGAAGCAGAGTTTAGTTTTAATCACAGAGTTACGTATAAAAATTAGCAGTTTAAATGCTGACATCTTTAATCAAAGCCGAAGTCTGACTTCACTTAAAAATGTAAAGGATTTGAAACTTTATTTTAGCTTTAAAGCATCAGGCGCTGCAGTAAAATCTGTCTGTGTGAGCTCAGGTGAATCATTCCCCGAGTTTTACCACTGACTCTCAGCTGGACCGAGAGGTGAAGGACGCGCTGCTCTACGACACGCTGGCCCTCATCAACCTGGACGCCTGTGACCGTCGCAGGATCACCAAGGAGGAGAGGCGGCGGGTGAAGGACAGGCTGCAGCAGAACCGCTCCAGAGAGGCCAGGTGGGTAAATGAAGCCTGAAGATGAAACACACACACTAAGTTTGTGTGTCAGTGTGTGTGTTTGTGTTTCACCACCAGGTCAGAGGAGCTGCGACTGTGCCAGGCTGCCACGGCGCACCAGATGGAGAAGTACGAGGCCAAACACCTGGGAGGTTTTAAAAAGATCTACCCCAGAGAGGACAGCGAGAAATACGACAAGTATTTCAAACACAGCAGCAGATCTCTGTTCCAGGACACGGCGGCGTCCAAAGCCAGAGAGGAGTATGCCAGGTAGCTGTGTCAGCAGAGCAAATGACAGGATGAACCTCAGGGATTTTTTTAATTAACTCCTAGAGTTTGAGCTTTTTTGTCTGAGGTGTTTGTGTTCTCAGGCAGCAGCTGCAGAAGCTGCGTCTGAAGCAGGAGCAGAGCGAGCTGAGAGGAAACAAGAGGAAAGACCTGCAGGGAGAAACAGCCGGCGAGAAAGTCAAACCGAGACCAGCGCCTGCAGCACGGACGACCTTTGACCCGCAGCCTGGGAATCTGTGCGGCGTAGATCAGGTGCAGTGACAACACGCAGCCACAGGGGGGCGACACGCAGCTCCAACCTGAGACGGATGGCTCGTCTTCTGCCTGACCTCAGAGCCAACACACAATATTTAAATTACACAGAGGAGTATTTGTGCAGATAATTTTTATTGGATATTAAAATATCTTTTATGTGGAGGCCGGGTAAACAAACCGTGTTATGGAGGTCAGCGGGTGACAGTAACTGCTGATCTGTCAACACAGAGAAGCAATCAAATCAAATCAAATCAAATCAAACCAAATGTTTCTGCTCCTCCACAGCCGCCTCCGTTTGGACTCTCTGTGGACTCAGAGGCCGCAGGAGAGGAGGAAGTGAGCGACTCGGAGGAGCAAGAACGGGTGGATCTGCTGCTCCAGAGGAGGAAACTGCTGGAGGACCAGGGGGTGGTGGACCAGATCCAGCGGCTGCTGCCAACGTGTCAGACAAAGAGGTGGGGACGAGGGGTCCTGCAGGACGGCGTGGAGACCTGCAGGACTCAGCTGAGACCCCAAGTCTATCAGAGACAAGAGCTGCTGAAGGTAGGAGGCTGCAGCAGCTCTGCTCCTYTTCATCACCTGCTGATTTTCAAATCTAAAACTTTAAATGTGTTTTTTCTTCCAGTCAAATCCTTGGATGTGGTTTTCTCAGCAGCAGCTGCAGCTCTGTCCACAGGTAAACAATCAGAAAAACAAAACAAACACAAAACATTCAGATTTATTTAGAAAATGTTTGATTTATGTTCCCCGCCTATTTCTGAAGGAATTATTCTAAAATAATATTTTTTAATCAAAAACTACCCACCATTTTTTATTACTTTAAGTATTAATTTGTATTAATCTTAATTTTTATTTAAAATGAACAAAAAGACACATTTTAAAT